ATATCGGGATTGAGACAATAACTCTGAAAGATATTACAGTGACCTTTATTGAAGACACACGAGATAACCAATATACACTCATGGACAAAACTTAAGGAAGTTGTACCTTTCAGCATGTATATCGGGATTGAGACAATAACTCTGAAAGATATTACAGTGACCTTTATTGAAGACACACAAGATTACATCTGTCTCCTTAAAAAAAAAAAAAAATTAGATGACCGACAGACATTAAAGACTTTTCACTTTCTAATTTTTGTCTATGAGGGTATATATATATAGATTGAAGATGGCTGTAAAAATGTTAATGATATTACACAGATTTGTTCTTGTTTAGTCCTATAGTCTTGTAAAAAGGAGTAGACATGGTACCAAACTTACCTTGTAACCTGCAGTCTTGTTCTGGCACCACTTGAGTAGAGCATTGCGCTTGGAGCCCCCACCTTTGGTGAGTGTGGCAAGGGGATCTCCGTCAGTGCAGGACTTGGTGTAGTCCTCCGACCTGGGTAGTGGGGAGGTGACGGGGGGGTTGCCGTCACTGACTGTGGCCCTCAGTGGGGTCTGACAACACACAGCTCCCTCTGGTCAACAACTCCTACGTTGAACCAACTTTACGAATGGAAATCTAATGCTACACATGACTGGTACAGATCAGGAGGGACAAGTTCTATCCTTCCAAGAGAACAACAGTCTTTGATTTCCAGACTTAAGTCTGGTCATCTACGGACAATGACTTTCCAGAATGGTTGCAAGGTTTTCCCACTATGTACTAAGTGCAATTCTCAACCTGCAACCCCAAAACACATTATTGACTGTATTGACTCATCCATTGATGAGCTCTACTCTTCCTCAGCATACACCATCAAAAGTCTCAAGCTTTACAAGCTTGATACCTTAGTGTGATTGAGTGGAGATAAGAAAAAAGAAGAAGACCAACTTTACACCCAACTGGACAACCTTCCGTGTAAGACCATCAACAACAATAACAACAAAAATAAATAAAATTTAATTATATTACAATATAATGCGGCTTATGATTGTAGAATGACATTTGAAAATTATACCGCATGTGTTTCTTTTGAATGAAAAATCGAAATTTATTTTAAGAAGAAATAATGATTATTTTAAACTTTTCCGTTTATCATTACTCTTCACAATTCATCCTTTCATACTTCATCCCTAAGGTTAGAAATAAGCATTATTTCTCCTTTAAATAAATTTCAATTTTTCGTTCAAAAGAAACACATGGGGGATAATTTTCAAATATCACATTCTACAAACTTAATTACATTGTCTTCCCTGAAGGTTCAAGGTTGGATTATGTTACTTTTGATCTTACAATAGTGATCACTCATTGAATGTGTCGCTCACAAGTCCTACTGAGTCTTTAATCAAAATCCAGTCCCTCAACTTCTTTAATTCAACATCAACAAACACATCTGAATTTTTGATTGAAGTTGATGTGTTGAATTATAGTCGGTTGAACTAAAGGAAGTGTTGAATTATGTTGCTGTTGTTGTTGTTTCTTATCACCTTGTGTAAAGATTACACGAATCCCATGATCTCATGGAATGGGGTATAGGGGTGCAGCTTTCTTTTATCATGGCACCATGATCCAGGCACACTTTGGTGAAAGTCTGACTTTGCCTGTAATTTGAGGCCATTCCTAACATGGGAGCAGACGCCTTTGCTGCTACTCTAACATGAGTACAGACGCAGCTCCTCCATATCCCTGGAGAGGGACCCTTGCTGAGGTCGATCAACCGGGTCAGTTGAAGTCAGGATTTTTAAAGAAGTCTACTCATCTTCTAACAATGTTGCTGTTGGTCCGCAACTGCTTATTCGTCAAAGTTATTCTGCTTGTTTCGCAGCTGGCCTTCATATCTGAAGTTTGTTCCCCTATCTGTCACCTGGGGACGCGCCCTATAGCAGTCAGCTCTGCCAAGGGGTGTTGAATTATAGTTGGTTGAATTAGGCCGATTGGTAAGTGAAATAATGGTTGAAATAAAAGGAGATGTCAAATTATAGTCGGTTGAATTAAAGAAGCTTGTCTACCATACAAGATAACTAAATAACTTTATTATATATTCACCAAGATCAATTTGATCTCTGAAGAAGAAAGGTGTATTGTGAAGCAAGCCTTCTATGGCCTACAAATATTGATAGAAAATATACCTCCATCAAAGTCATCTAGCCAGACCTTCCATGTTAGCTGACTTGGTATTCCAGGCAAAGAAGGCCAGTTGACTTATACCAACACTTGCAGAATGTACAGCCCTATCTCTGATACAGAGGTCTGTCGTCATTTCACTCATTAATTTAACAACCACTCTCACAAATTTTAGGAGGATTTTGGAATCGGCGAAGACAGTGTTTCTTATCCCTCTGTGTAAAGATTACACAAATTCCATGAGTCCTTGCTCCTCGAGCTGTTTTATGTTAAGCAGCAGCCTTTCCCAAAGGTCCTGTTTAGTGCATCTATTGTAAGTCAAAATTTGTCCTGGAGCTACAGGTGCCAAGCTACATTTTGGACAAGTGGGGGGGGGGGGGGGGGGGGACTGTATCTTTGGTAATGGTGTGCAGGATGTGAGACATCTTCTCATTGGATGCCCAGCTTTTTGGAAGATCAAACTAGCAAAACTGCCAGGAAGGGTTCACCACTGATGAGCCAAAAGTTTTTTTTTTCCCCATTGCAGAAGGGGTTCAGCAAGAAATTGTATTTTATCAATTTTTGAATTCTTTTATTACTTACCCCCCCCCCCAAGTATGTGCGTAACAGATGATAATAATACTTGGTGGGGAGTTAGCAACTACTTTTATACTGTATCACATGTCCACAAAGCACTTTGACATTTTACTCCACTTTTCCAAAATATAGCTTACAGCTCCAGAACACATTGCATTAGATATACTAAACAGGACCTTTGGGAGAGGCCCCTGCTTATCATCAAACAGCTCAAAGAGCATGGACCCATGGAATTTGTGTAATCTTTACACAAGGGGATAGTAAACAACAACAACTTTGACATTTGCACTTACAAGTGTGTCAGAGTCCTGTTTGGTTACTTGCACTCACTGGTAGGGTTGGACTTTATGCAAGAATCGCAGACCATTGAAACATTTTTTTAGAAAAGAAAGAAAAAACGAGATTCAATCCCAGGTCATGGCTGACACACACAAAAATAGAGGGTTTATACAACTCCTCCATCAACCCGATGATCAAGTTATAATGTTCTATTCATAGAGTGTTGCTGAATTATACTGTAATTTTAGACCAGTGTTTCTCCAATGTAGTGTTGGTCTCAAGGACCACGCCTTCACCATCTCCTCAGTGACAAAGTAGGTGATCTATGTTTTCTTCGTAGATCACAAAATACCTGATGTCACTGGAGACCCGCTGGCAATTTTTCTTCAAACTTTGCAGCGGTGGCAGAGGCACCATGTACATAGTGTAATGTATATATTTTTCAAAATATCATTTTAAAACAATAGTACAGACTGTATACTTTTGCATGTATTGACAAGATGTCAATAAGATTCTGTTAATCGTCTAAGGTAGTGTTTGTTTACCTTCATGAAGAGATTACTCCCAGTGCCACCGTTGCTCAAGATGGCCGCTGACCGTGACTCTGAGGACACACTGCTAGTGGAGGAGCTGCGGCTACAGCACGGCCCTGCACCAACACACCGAGTCACGCCACCGCGCAGTACAATGATGGCGACCACTGACCTTTAACCTGCTTGGTGGCATTTTCGATGGACTCAATGAGACTGCGGACAGAGGACTGCGTGGTACCACGGGAGCAGCGACGAGGCTTGTTAGCAGCTTGCTCCTGCGCAGACTTGTCTTCCAGGGCCTCGCGCAGGGCTTGGTTCTGCGCGGCCAGCTGGGCACATTCCTGCTGAGCCTCTGTCTTGAAGTCATTGGCGACCCTGACTGCCAGCAGCAGGTCTGCCTGGAATTTTGCCCATTCCTGCGCCGCGCGCTCATGGCTCCTCCGCAACTCTTCAGCTTGCGCTGCCAACTCTGCCTGGTGGCGGGCAGCTGACTCCCGCAGCTGGGCCTCTGCCTGGGTCAGCTGATACTGGAGGTCCTGCACTTGCTTGCGTGCAGTATTCTTCACCACCTGGAACCAAACCTTGTACGTTAGCATGACACTCCCAACAGGTGTTAAGGCAAAATTTGGATTATTCTATATACAGTTACGAGCGTCATTCCTCATCAGTCGTCTCTGTCACCGTTTGCTTTTTTTTTTGGAATGGCGCCCCCACTCGCTCTTTCGTTTTTGTAACTATTGTGTTGGAGTGGGTCGCTCCTTAAATAAATGCATATATTAGCTAATAACTAAATGGAATCCTCTCTTTCCTTTTCCCAGTATGAGACGCCTACGGAAGCCAACAGTACATAGACAGATAAAGCACATAGGCTATAGTTATTAACTAAAATATGCATTTATTTAAGGCGCCAATTTATAATTGTAACAAATAGTATTTGAATAAAAAACATTCAATCGGGTAAAACACGGGCGTTGCCCAGGCCATTCGGCTAGTAGATTAGAAACACAAGGTAATAAGACCCAAATCCAAATAAATAAATAGTTTACACACTTGATAACAGTAACTATTTAAAAACATACTGTGGTAAAATTTCTCATTCAGTACTTTTGTCTGAAGATGGTAACAACGCTGTTACCGAAACGTCATACACTATTTATTTATTTGGTCTTATTACGTAGTGTTTCCAACAGGTGTGTTTGATATTTTTATTTTAACAGAAATATTGTTTTTTTTTCCATAGGGACGATATTTCACATCCTTTCATACTTCATCCCTAAGGATAGGAATAGTCGTTATTTCTCCTTAAAATATATTATGATTTCTCGTTCTGTAAAAAAAGAAACATTTGCAGTAAAACTTGTCAAACCTAGTTCTATAATCATAAGCCGCATTATATTGTATTATAAATTAACTTTATATAATATTTAGGAACGGAAAAATATGCCCAGGGTAGCTTGGGGGACATGGCATCTGCCCGGTAAGCGGAACACTAGGTTCGATTCCCATCCCTGGACACTTTTATTTTTCTGTTCATCATTACTCTTCACAATTCATCCTTTCATACTTCATCCCTAAGGATAGAAATAGTCGTTATATCTCCTTAAATAATGAAAATTAATATTTTTCGTTCTATAAAAAAGAAACATTTGCGGTAAATCTTGTCAAATGTTGTTCTATAGGGACAATATACTAGTTTCTACACTCAATGCCTACAGGAAATCTAATGCTGCACATGACTGGTACAGAGCAGGAGGGACAAATTCTGTCCTCCCAAGAGAACAACAGTCTTTGATTTCCAGACTTAATTCTGGTCATCTACGGACAATGACTTTCCAGAATGGTTGCAGGGTTTTCCCACTATGTACTAAGTGCAATTCTCAATCTGCAACCCCAAGACATATTATTGACTTATCCATAGATGAGCTCTACTCTTCCCCGGCAGACATCATCAAAAGTCTCAAGCTTGATACCTTAGTGTGATTGAGTGGAGATAAGAAAGAAGAAGTTGAAGAAGATTAGTTTCTACACTGGTTCTCATCCAATCACCAAAGTTAAGCAATGTCAGCCATGGTCAGTACTTGGGAGGGTGACCACTTGGGGATGTTGTAGTAGTAGGCTTATAGGATTTTGATTTTTAATTCAACTTCAAACAAACTTTACGCAACACTCCCTAATGTACCCACTGCTGCTCTACAACACCTGCAACAGGAGGCCATTATCTGTAGTCGGCTAGTGACGCTGTAGGACGCTGTTCAACCTGATGTCCAGGAGAAGAAATGAACTGCGCACTAGACGGAGCTGCTAATTAGGAGAGAGCCAATCAGTGCAAGGATAAAACTGACTCTATATAAAATGAAACCGTAATATCAGTCTCCTTTTTGTACTGTGAAACCTCTTTGATTCAACCAACTATGATGGAAAATTATCCATGACCTTATATAACTATGGGATATTAACAAAAATAAATAATAGATGGACAAAAATTCAAACTTTGTTTAAAAGTGTCCATCTTGAAAAAAAAAAGTGAGGTAGCAATAGTGGGTGTCACTGAAACATCGGACTCTAAACTTGAGTAAAGTCTTCTTCTTCTTTCTTATCTCCACTCAATCACACTAAGGTATCAAGCTTGAGACTTTTGATGATGTCTGCCGGGGAAGAGTAGAGCTCATCAATGGATGAGTCAATAATATGGTTGCAGGCTGCACTCATGATGGTTGAGTCAAGTCCCCATGTAGAATGTGTTCCACGACGGACTCACCATGTTCTCCTCCTGCAGAGCTGACAGGGACTCCTTCAACTTGAGGACTTCCCTCTGTGCCTGATCCAGCTGGTCCTGCAGCTCCACATTCCGGAGGTCCGAGGCCAGGGAAGTCCCTGAGGACTGGATTTCTGTCAGTTGGGCTTTGGAGCTCTCGGCCTCCGCCTGGACACTCTGTGGGTGAGCACAGTTGATCCAGCATTGGCTTGGCACACAGTGCATGAACAGTCTCTAGTACTTCTCAAAATTACAAGAAATATGTTTTTTTAAACACTACAAGGTAATAAGAACAAATCCAAATAAATAGTGTGTGATGTTTCGGTAACAATTGTTACATCATAGGACAAAAGTTACTGAATGAGAAAAAATATCACAGCATGCTTTTAAATAAAGTTACTGTTATCAAGTGTGTAAAAAAGATAGCGGATTGCAAACATGCTTTGATATTTTTTCTCGTTCAGTAACTTGATGATGGTAACAATGCAGTTACCAAAACGTCACACACTATTTGAATTTGGTCTTATTACCTTGTAATTATAATTTATAAACCAAAATGTGGCTTATCATTTTTAAACACTACTTTTATATGTATATTTCAGAGTTATTGTCTGAATCCCGATATACATGCTGAAAGGTACAACTTCCTTAAGTTTTGTCCATGAGTGTATATTGGTTATCTCTTGTGTCTTCAATAAAGGTCACTGTAATATCTTTCAGAGTTATTGTCTCAATCCCGATATACATACTGAAAGGTACAACTTCCTTAAGTTTTGTCCATGAGTGTATATTGGTTATCTCTTGTGTCTTCAATAAAGGTCACTGTAATATCTCTCAGAGTTATTGTCTCAATCCCGATATATATACTGAAAGGTACAACTTCCTTAAGTTTTGTCCATGAGTGTATATTGGTTATCTTGTGTGTCTTCAATAAAGGTCACTGTAATATCTTTCAGAGTTATTGTCTCAATCCCAATGTACATTCTGAAAGGTACAACTTCCTTGAGTTTTTTCTATGAGTGTATATTGGTTATCTCGTGTGTCTTCAATAAAGGTCACTGTAATATCTTTCAGAGTTATTGTCTCAATCCCGAGATATATGCTGAAAGGTACAACTTCCTTAAGTTTTGTCCATGAGTGTATATTGGTTATCTCATGTGTCTTCAATAAAGGTCACTGTAATATCTCTCAGAGTTATTGTCTCAATCCCGATATATATACTGAAAGGTACAACTTCCTTAAGTTTTGTCCATGAGTGTATATTGGTTATCTTGTGTGTCTTCAATAAAGGTCACTGTAATATCTTTCAGAGTTATTGTCTCAATCCCAATGTACATTCTGAAAGGTACAACTTCCTTGAGTTTTGTCTATGAGTGTATATTGGTTATCTCGTGTGTCTTCAATAAAGGTCACTGTAATATCTTTCAGAGTTATTGTCTCAATCCCGAGATATATGCTGAAAGGTACAACTTCCTTAAGTTTTGTCCATGAGTGTATATTGGTTATCTCATGTGTCTTCAATAAAGGTCACTGTAATATCTTTCAGAGTCATTGTCTGAATCCCAATATAAATGCTGAAAGGTACAACTTCCTTAAGTTTTGTCTCCATGAGTGTATTTGAGGGTTGGAGAAGGAGTGTTATAAACCATTGATTTTCAACAGCAAAGACCTGGGGGATCAAATCCCACGCTGGGATTTTTCTTTAAGTAGAAAATTGCTTTGAGCCCCCCCCCCCCAATTATTGCAAAAGTCCTGTACTGTAAATATATATTGTTTATTATCTCTAGTACACATAGTACAGGCCATGATAATCATGGTAGGTAGTATTTGGCGATTGATTTTACTGTAAGTATACCACATGTCTACACATGTAGAAAGAAGTTTGACTTTTAACACTTACAAATGTGCCAGAGCCCTGTTTGGTTACTTGCACTCGCTGGTGAGGTTGGACTTTTGCAAGAATCGGGGTCATTGGAGCATTTTTTTTTATTAGAAAAAGTGTCCAATGCGGGATTCGATCCCAGGTCATAGCAGTCGTACACCAATGGTTTAGACCAGGGGTGGCGAACGTGCGGCCTTAAGGCCGCATGTGGCCTTTTCTTGCCCAAGTTGTGGCCTTTTCTTAAATTCAAAACTATAATTTTTGTTTCGCAGTTTTCAATTACTTTCATTATTTTATTGAAAATATCTAATACGAATGTCATATATTATATCTATATTAATAAAATGGAAATTTCATAAGTGGACATCACTAAAAACTTTCGTTACAATGCATCAATTTCAACCAAATTTTCAACATTTATGTAAAACGAGATGGAGCACGTTTTGCTTAACATCAAAATATATTTCCTAACATTAACATGGGTAACTTCGCTGTTATCGATTAAATACAAAAAATAATATATATAATATTTATATATATATATATATATAAATAAATATGCGTCCTTCTCAAAAATGGTAAAATGAAAACTGGCCTTCTAATATAAAAAGGTTCGCCACCCCTGGTTTAGACCATCCTTCCACCGACCCCCTGCACTTACTGGTGGGGTTGGACTATTTGAAAAGAATAGGCGAGACACTGGAGCCATTATTTAATTCAAAAAAACAAGTGTCCAATGCGGGGATTCAATCATCCGGATTGTGGCTGTGGAAAATCAGCAATTTATACCCCTCGTATATAAACTCCGCCGGTCCCAAGCCCGGATGGAGGAGGGGGAGCAGTAACAAGCTCACTAAAAAACCTGGGCCCAGCTGACCTGGCTGATAGTACCCTGTAAGGGTTCCAGGGATACATGATGTACTCCATGTTAGGAGCGGCTGCACATGGCGTCTGTTCCTCATGTCAGAGGCGGCCATTTCTTTTGGAGCTAAGTCAGTGGCCTGCCACTGAGTAGTGCTCCCAGTCTTAACGACATTCTACTTCACCCAGTGTAGAGATAAAAAGAAGACCACTCATCCACAAGACCCCCCCCCCCTTTCTCAGAGATAATATAAACACAGTGAAGGTTATATCTCAGCATTTCTGGAATAGAACAAGATTGATGGTTGATAAGGCACACAATTTGGATTATAGATTATAAACACAAGGTAATAAGACCAAATCCAAATAAATAAATAGTGTGTGACCTTTCAGCGTAGTTACCATCTTCAGACAAAAGTATTGAATGAGAAATCTTATCTGTTATCTTGTTTACACACTTGATAACAGTAACTATTTAAAAACGTGCTGTGGTAAAATTTCTCATTCAGTACTTTTGTCTGAAGATGGTAACTTCTTATCTGTTATCTTGTTTACACACTTGAGATAACAGTAACTATTTAAAAACATGCTGTGGTAAAATTTCTCATTTAGTACTTTTGTCTGAAGATGGTAACAACGCTTGAACGTCACACACTATTTATTTTTTTATCTATTACCTTGTGTTTAAGATTGATGACTAAGGAAGGATTTCCATACCCTTGTAGACAGTAAGGCAGACGACATGCGTTCATATTTCTCTCTGAGTAACCTAACAGTCTTCCCCTTCATTTAACAACAAATCTATATATAGATAATATAAATACAAAGATAAATATATATTTATATAAATATAAATAATTGATAATCTTAATCAGTCAGTTTGTTTGTGTTTGTATTTAAATAATTTTCTTTTTATGAGAGATGAAAAGTTTATCCTAATCCGTCTTTTTTTTTTTTTCAAATCATTGAATTTTTTTATATAAACAAGATTTTAAAATAAATAAATAATAATAATAATAATAATAAAACACACAGATTTAGAATATAATTATTATTATTTTAAAATCTTGTATATAAAAATTCAATGATTTAAAAAAAAAAACAGATTTAGAATATAATCATTGAATTTTTATATAAAATATATTTTTTTTAATAAAATAAAATAATAATTTATTAATTTGAAAAATTGTAACTATATTTTTTGGACTAAATTTTAGTGTGGTGACTTGATTTGTTCAATAAATAATAAAAAGAAACAATTTTGACTACTCTAATTGATGTTTTATATAATTTTTTTTAGCTATAGATTTGATTCAGATTTCAGAGTTTGATTGAAAACCAACAAAGGTTCTTCATTCAGAATTTTTATATCTTTATTTACAAACAATTCTAATGAATCAACTTGGACAATGTAGTAAAATAACAGATTCTTTTTTTTTTTTATGCATATAAATATTTTAGGTGTAATCACAAGGCAATCTACAGTAACTATTTAAACCATGCTGTGGTAAAATTTCTCATTCAGTACTTTTGTCTGATGGTAACAACGCTGAAACGTCACACACTATTTATTTGAATTTGGTCTTGTGTTTATAATCTATAATCCAAATAGTGTGCCTTA